AAAGAAAAAGGAAGGGAAGAGAAAGGAAGAAAGAAAAGGAAGGAAAGCAGAAGAGGAAGGAAGGAAAGAAAAAGGAAAGAAAAGAAAGGAAGGAAAGAGGAAAAAGAGAAAGGAAGGAAAGAAAAAGGAAGAGGAAGGAAAGAAGGAAAGAAAAAGAAAAGGAGATAGGAAAAGTGGGCTGGAAAGCATGAGGAGTGCCTCCCCTCTTATCGCACAGGCCCTCCGAGCGCCTCCAGAACTCGGGTCCCCTTTTCCAGGTAGTCGGACCGTTGTAGCCAGAATCCCTCTTTGTCTTTCATGATGTTGGCGAGCACAGCGCCCCCCAAGAACACCATGTGTTTTCGGCATGGCGGGTCCTCAATGCGAATCTTGAATTTCTGAAAGAGAGAACCAGCATTCAATCATTTCCAAGAGATCACGGTTCCCGGATTGGCGACGCATTCTTTAACGTAGCTTATCTGGGTGGGGAGGGGGGAATGCATCGATTCAGACAGTTTGGCCCAAATAAAAGTTACAAACGATCCAACAGACACAAGAACTTTAATCGTACAAAGCAATCATCCTTGACTTGAGCGACTTAAACAGTTGAGCCCCACATTCCTTGTTGCTGAGGTGAGACGTTTTGTGAAAAGAGAGTTCCGTTCCATTTTACGACCAACGTTTTACGAAAACGTTTGGCTCAATCGTCGTCGTAAGTCGAGGATTTATCTATATGCACGAAGATGGAAAGACTGACTGATTCCCACAACGGGAGAATAGAGGTGGCAAAATTGACTTTCATTAGAAGACAACTAATCTATTTTTCTTTTGTAAAGCCCGAGTAAGGCCACACCTAGAGTCCTGCATCCAGTTTTGGTCACCTCATTATAAAAAAGATGTTGAGATTCTGGAAAGAGTGCAGAGAAGAGCAACCAGGATGATGAGGAGACCGGAGGCTGAAACATACGATGAACGGTGGCAGAAACTGGGCCTGGCTAGTCTAGTGAAGAGAAGGACCAGGGGAGACAGGAGAGCAGCCTTCCAGTATTTGAGGGGCTGCCCCAGAGAGGAGGAAGGGGTCAAACTATTTTTTAAAGCACCCGAAGGCCAGACAAGGAGTAATGACCAAGTAACTGACCAAGGAGAGATTCAACCTGGAAATAAGGAAAAACTTTCTGACAGGGAGAACAATCCACCAAAGGAACAGAAGTCGCGTTCAGAAGTTGTGGGAGCTTCATCCCTGGAGGCTTTCAAGAAGAGATTGGACTGTGATTTGTCAGAGATTGTGTAAGGTTTCCTTTCCTGGGCAGGGGGTTGGACTAGATGACCTACAAGGTCCCTTCCAACTCTGTTAATCTGTTAATAAGTGATGTAGGGTCTCCTGCTGGGATGGAGGGGGTTGGACTAGATGACTTACAAGGTCCCTTGCTACACTGATTCTCTGTTTAATCTGTTTTCTGCTTGGAAATCGCTTCTGGAATTTGTCCTTGAGGTTGGGGGAGGGAGGGGGGGGCAAAAAATGAAACTGGTTTGAGGTTATGATGACCGGATCGACTCTGTGGTTATAGAAATGGCTTGAAATAGCTAGAAATATAAAGAAGAAAGTGAAAGCTTCCAATGTCCCTGGAAAACAAATTGAAAGTGACTTAATTTATTTTTCTTTTCACCTCCCTTCTCCCTTCTTTCTCTTCCCTGATTTTGGTTTCCATTTATATTTAATCTCATAATAAACTTTCATTTTTTTTTTTAAAAAAAGAGCATTTTTCACCCCTGCCAACCAGTTCTTTGAATCATCAAGGCCTGTCGGCTACCTTCGCTATGCTCCCCAGCTACAACAGTCAACAGCAGAGCCAATTACAGATAGTCCTCAAGTTATGACCACAATGGAGCCCCAAATTTCTGCGGCTAAGCGAGATAGTTGTGAAGTGGGTTTGCCACATTTTACGACCTTTCTTGCCACCGTTGTAAAGTGAATCACCACAGATGTTAAGTTAGTAACACACTTGTTAAGTGAATCTGGCTTCCCCACTGATTTTGCAGAAGGGGATCCTGTGACACCCTCCGGGACGCTCCAACTGTCGTAAGTACGAGTCAGCGGCCAAGGGTCTGAATTTGGATCATGTGACCGCAGGGATCCGCAATGGCTGTAAGTGCGAAAAAGGGTCAAAAGTCACTTTTTTTTCAGTGCCGTTGTCGCTTCAAACAGTCACTCATAATATGGGAATAAGGGGAGGGGATTTGGAATTCATACCTGCCTGGCATCGCCCAGAATGCCAGGAGGAGGTCGACTGGACTTTGCCCTCCCCTCCCTCTCTCCATTGCCCACTTCGGAGGTGGTATTCAGCCGGTTCTGACTGGTTCTAGAGAACCGGTAGCGGAAATTTTGAGTACTTCGGAGAACCGAACAATGCAACCTCTGACTGGCCCCGCCCCCATCTATTCCCCGCCTCCCGAGTCCCAGCTGATTGGCTGGGTTCTTCTTTGGTTGCCCTGCACAGGAGAACGGAGCTGGAAAGCAGGTTAGCGGGGTGGGGAGGGAATGGGGATTTTGCAGTAAACCTTCCCCTGCCACGCCCACCAAGCCACGCCCACCAAGCCATGCCCACCAAGCCACACCCACCAAGCCACGCCCACAGAATCGGTAGTAAAAAAAATTGAATCCCACACTGGCCCACTTACCGACAGCTTCCCTACATCCCCGTTTAACACCCGCTCCAAATACAACTGCTTGATCTCACGCTCCAGGCGGGATGGCAGACCAGGGTACATGGTGGAGCCCCCCGAAAGAACAATATGCTTATAAAACTCTGCCCTGCGAAAAGACAAGGGTGGGTGGCGGAAGAGAGTGATCAGATGCTGCAGCCATACAAGGACCAGAGAAAGCTGGCTTCACGTAATCGACATAAACCAGATGCGCTTCATTCATGGTTTAGCATTGAACTGCAACTCCCATTTAACGTTATTAAAGAAATAACAATGAACTCCCAAAATTCCCCATCCAGCTTTGCTTTAAGATGGGCGGACTTCGACTCCCAAAATTCCCTAGCTAGCATGGTTTAAGATGCCAACTCCCCTTTCATTTTATTAAATTAGGTTAATAAAATAAAAATAAACTCCCAGAATACCCTCCAGCATACTTTTAAGAGATCTGGACTTCAAGTCCCAGAATTCCACAGCCACCATGCTTTAAGAGGCCAACTCCCTTTTACTTTTGTGAAATTTGTTTAATAAAGTAAAAATAAACGCCCAGAATTCCCCATCCAGCATGTTTTATAAGCTCTAGACTTCAACTCCCAATATTCCCCATTTAGCATGCTTTAAAATGCTAGCTCCCATTTAATTTTATCACATTTATTTAATAAATAAAAATAAACTCCCAGAATTCCCCAGCCAGCACATTTTAAGAGATCTGGACTTCAACTCCCAGAATCTCCCAGGCAGCCTGCTTTAAGATGAGTGGACTTCAACTCCCAGAATTCCCCAGCCACCATTGTTTAAGAGCTATGATATTTCTAACTCCCAGAATTCCCTAGCCAGCATGGTTTCAGATGCCAACCCCCATTTAATTTTGTGAAATTAGTTTCATAAAATAACAACAAACTCCCAGAATACCATCCAGCATACTTTAAGAGATCTGGACTTCAACTCCCAGAATTCCACAGCCAGCCATGCTGGATGGGGGTTTCTGGGACTTGAAGTCCACCCACCTTAAGAGGCGCCAAGTTTGAGGAACCTTGTTCTAGTCCAGGCTATCTCAAGAGGATGCCACTTACCGGGTGTCCACAGCGGAGGCTTGAATGGTGTTGAACAGTAGCTCAGCCATCCCCATTCCTTCCACGTTGATGAGGTGAGGCTGAAACAGAGCTTCGGGGGCTTCGAAGCGTTCCCCCCCAAGTTTGATCACACGTCCATCTGGCAGCTGGAAGAGGAGGGAGGAGAAGGCGAGAAGGATGGCCACCTCTAAATACACCCCAAAAGCAATCACATCCAACACGCTCCTTTGCTTTTGATTTGATGGGTGGAGGCTATGTTGGTGTAAGAGCTGCTGCATCCAAAGGACCATATCAGAGTTGACTCAGCCTTCCATCCTTCCGAGGTCAGTAAAATGAGGACCCCAATTGTTGAGGGCAAGAGGCTGGCTCTGTAAACAGCTCAAGGAGGCCTATAAGGCACTGTAAAGCGGGATATAAGTGCTATTGCTATCAGTGGTAGCAGGATTGAAATGGGGAATAATGCCCAATGCACCCTGATCTCTCTTTAAAAACAAAAACAAAAACAAAACACCAAGTATTGCTCTGTTTTAAACACTGCACCTGTAGAAAATGGGAGAGATGACTTTGCAGAAATTAGGAAGTTTTAGCTATGTTTTATGGCTTGAAATCAGGAAACATTAGGGAAAAAAATTTCCTGGGAGTTGAAGTTACCTTACCTCAGCTCTATCCCGACCTGGCCTACCTCCAAGGCCTGACATTATCTATCAGCCGAAAGGTAATTTACCGTATAGGATTCCACCAGGACGGTTGTCTCGCGGGCCAACAGTTGTTCCTGGTCAATGTTGTAACCCACATAACACAATTTCTCCTTCATCATCCTGACCGTCTCAAAATCAGCCGAGTGGTTGAAGGCGTAGCCGCGAAGTAAAAAGAGCTGGTGGGAAGAGAGAAAATAACAGTACAAAATTCTACTTTTGGAGTTTCTGGGTTTCGGTTTCATGACCATCCAAAACAGACTTTGGGTTATGGCTTCCCAATCAGTATTGTGCAGGAATACTGATTGGGACTTACAACCGCAATGGAAGCCCCAAATTTATGTTGCTAAGTGAGACACTGGTTAAATTTGTCCCATTTTACGACTTTCCTTGGCACAGTTAAGTGAATCACTGCAGTTGTTAAATTAGTAACACCGTTGTTAAGTGAATCCGACGTCCCCATTGACTTTGCTCGTCAGAAGATCCCGTGTAATATGGGACATTGCAATGGTCGTAAGTATGAACCAGTTGTCAAACGTCTGAATTTTGATCCCGTGACCACGGGGATGCTGCAACGGTCATAAGTGTGAAAAATGGTCGTAAGTCACTTTTATCCAGTGCTGTTGTAACTTCAAACGGTGACTAAATGAACTGTTGTAAGTTGAGGACTATCTTTCTACCAGTGCAAAACAAATTACAAATCTCTGACTATCCAGGCAATCCTCAACTTACAAACCATAATTGGACACGGAATTTCCATTCAGCTGTTAAGAAAGTCGTGTCTGATTTTGCAACCATTTTTTGTTGTTAAGCGAATCAGCGCAGTTGTTAAGTGAATCACACATTTTTAAAGTGAATCTGGCTTCCCCCGTCGACTTTGCTTCTTAGAACCTGCCAATGACAATCAGAGGAAACTGGGATGCTAAAATTCTCTTATATGCGTGCTTGGTGTCAAGGTCCCTGAAACTTGATCCCATGGCGTTAGGGATGCTGTATAGGTTGTAAGTCTGAGGATTGGTTGTAAGTCACTTTTTTCAGGGCCATTGTAACTTCGAACGGTCACTAAAATGATCTGGGGGGGGGGGGCAAATTGGAGTCCAATATGTTGGATGTGTAAACAAACAACAGGTACCTTCTTTTACATGTGGTGGCTGTGCTCCAAAGCTAAAAAATTCTGGAATAAAATTAAAATTTGGCTGCAAGAAATAACAAATGAAAAAATAGAACTCAAACCGGAAATGTTTTTATAATTATAATTAATAATTAGAGGCAAATATAAAAAAGAAATTGAATATCTCATAGTACATATTCTGACAGCAGCGAGAATAACTTATGCTCAAAATGGGAAAGTGGAGGGTAATCCCATGGATCATATGTTAATTAAAAAAAATATGGATTGTGCGGAAATGAATGGAGTTGCAAGAGAAAGAAAAAAGAGAATTCTATACGGTCTGGGAAAATGTATATATTTGGATAGATAAAAATAATAATAGTGAGTATATAATGTAAATATGAATAATGTACGTATATATGTATATAGATATGAATAATGAAAGATGGAAAAAAACGATGCCACAATGTATTGCAAGAAATGCAAACATGATTTGTATTTTTTTTTAATTGTAAAACTTTAATAAAAAATATTTTTTTAAAAAAAATGATCTTGGGGGGGAGATCAGAAATGCGTGTGGCGCTCACCTTGATCAGGTAGCGCGTGATGTCACGCCCTGCGATATCCAGCCGGCGGGTAAGGTGCGGCAATGAAAAACCCTCGTAAACGGGGCAGATGTGGGTGACCCCATCTCCAGAGTCCACCACTATCCCGGTCAGCAGACCTGCAAAGGGGAGAAAGTGGAATTAATAAAGGAGACTATTTGTAGCTTAGGGTTGAAATTAGGGGTCTTTAGAGCTCTCTAATCTTGGTGGGTTTCGTGTGGATGTTTCATGACCCAGCTAGGGAATTTCATCAGTGCTAGAAGGGAGGGGGCTTTGTGGTGGAGGAGGAGGAGGAGGAGGAGGAGGAGGAGGAGGAGGAGGAGGTGGAGGAGGAGGAAGAGATGGAGGAGGAGGAGGAGGAGGAGGAGAAGGACTCTGGGGTTCTTGGGGTTCTCTGAGCTTGGTGATTTTCTTGCAGACATTTCACAACCCAACTAAATAGCATCCATCAGTGCAAGGATGTTGAATGCTGAAACCATAGAAATCGGAGCTCCGAAAGGCAGAGTTTCTCTGCTATCGAAACAACTTCCTGCCTTTCCATTAAAAAATGGGATACCTACAAGCTACTCCTCGACTTATCAACACAATGTCAAGTTTAATGTAATTTAGTTGCTCTGTGGCTTAGCCTGTTGTGTGAACCCCACCCGCTTGGTTTGTTGCTGGTTCCAGGTTTGAAACCCAGAAAATGAATCATCTAGTTCAGTAACCAGATTGGCAAAATTGTGAGTGCAATCCAGAGTTTTGTGGCTAAAGGCTTAACTCTCAATTTCTCCACAAAAAGCTGTCTTACCCTGAGCATAAAGTGTCAACACAGCTTGGATCGCAATATAGACACCATCAAACTGGTAGGTTTCAAACATAACCTGGATTGTACAAGGAAAGACAAGGAGAGAGCATTCCATAAATAAGCCACCTTTTACAGTCCCTTACCACTTGGAATAAATCTTTCAGGGGCTGCCAATAATAACCTCACCACATTATCTTTTTCCTATCAAAGCATTAATGGTTAATTGTTTTATGAATTGTGTTAATTAGTCTATCAATCTATTTTATGACTGTCACGACTTATCACTGTAATGGGCAGTCATAACTCAAGGACTCTGTGTGTGTGTGTGTGTGTGTGTGTAATGGATAGAGATAGGCGATAAATGATAGATAGATAGATAGATAGATAGATAGATAGATAGATAGGCAGGCAGGCAGGCAGGCAGGCAGGCAGGCAGGCAGAGACAGACAGACAGACAGATGATGGATGGATAGATGATAGAGGTAAATGATCAATAGATAAAGAGATGAGATAGGTGATAGAGAAAATAGATAGATGATAGATAGACAGACAGACAGATAAAGATAGAGACAGATGATGGATGGATAAATAGATACAGTAGATATAGTAGACAGACAGACAGACAGGCGATGGGTGTATAGATGATAGAGGTAGAGGTAAATGATAAATAGAGAAAGAGAAGAGATAGGTGATAGAGAAGATAGATAGATAGATAGATAGATAGATAGATAGATAGATAGATAGATAGAGATAGATAGATAGATAGATAGATAGATAGATAGATAGATAGATAGATAGATGATAGATAGATAGATAGATAGATAGTAGATATAGATAGATAGATAAGCTAGATAGACAGACAGAAAGATGATGGATGGGTAGACAGATGATAGAGGTAGATGATCAATAGAGAAAGAGATGAGATAGGTGATAGAGAAAAGAGAGAGAGAGACAAAGATAGATGATTGATAGATGAATGGAATTGATAAATAATGGATGGATGAATAGATGATTGCTGGATGGATGATGATTGGATGGATGGATGGATAGACAGACAGGCAGACAGACAGATGGATGCATGGATGGAGAGGGAGAGAGAGAGACCTTTTGTTGGTTAACAAACATTTGAGATGATACATTTTTCTGCAGATAACACAATGGGTATCATGGATAATAAACACCAGACATCACAAAAAACAGTGGCTGGGATAAAGACTGTAATTTGTTCAAAAAACCTTGATCAAGTCCTCCAGTAAGATTCTCTGATGGTCCTGCTTACCTCAATGATCTTCTCTCGGTTCTTGGTGGGGTTCAGAGGCGGCTCGGTGAGCAAGACCTTACAGTTACGGGGGTCAATGTTGAGTTTCTCTGGGCCAAAGGTGTAGTCCCACAAGTACTTCATGTCCTCCCAGCTGCGCACAATCCCGTTCTCCATGGGGTAGTTCACCTCCAACATGGAACGCAACTTGCTGGCATCATCGCCCACCATGAGGTCCTACCAGGGAGGAAAGCCACAGAGGCCTGTTATCTAGGTGGCAACAATGCCCACCTGGATGAAGTGGGCATACATTCATACACACACACACACACACACACACACAACACACACACACACACACACACACACACACATACACAGAGTCTGCAGAAACTGCATCACTTGTGAGACAGAAGGAGATGCACAGATAGGAAGCACAGAAGACCAACAATCTTGGAGAACAGCAACAGCAATGAGAAAAAACATAATTTTAGCCCAGGACAGTAAAATAACTAGAAAGAACTGACTCAGCCTTCATTAAATTTTAAAGAGAGGGAAGAGAAAACACTGTCAGGCTTTGAACTTTCTGTTATTATGGCCTATGCCCATGTTTTTCAAACTTGGCAACTTGGCAAGGTGGGTGGACTTCAACTCCCAGAAGTCCCCAGTCAGCAGGCTTTAAGATGGGTGGATTTCAGCTCCCAGAATTCCTCAGCCTGTGTGATTTAACATGCCTGGACTTCAGCTCCCAGAATTCCCCAGCCTGTGTGATTTAACATGGACTTCAACTCCCCCAGCAAGCATGCTTTAAGATGGATGGACTTCAACTCCCAGAATCCCCCAGCC